TCTTGTGGTTGTTCTTGCTGCATCCAAGAACATGAGGTTCAGTTCGCCTACTTTTAGGGCAGAAAATCTCCTGCAGCTGCTCAAAGCTCCGCTTCCGCGGCGTGGTGATCACTGGAAGCGCCCTTGGCAACGTCCCCCTCAGAAAGTTCGTCCCCATGAACTGGCGCATGCTCCGCGGCTGGGGTCTCGTGCTCTGGCGCGTGCTCCGCGGCGGGGGTCTCGTGCTCTGGCGCGTGCTCCGCGGCGGGGGTCTCGTGCTCCGGCGCGTGCTCCGCGGCGGGGGTCTCGTGCTCTGGCGCGTGCTCCGCGGCGGCGTTGTCGAGAAGATGAGGGTCTGTAAGGGACAAGGGCTCTGGTACCTGCTCGTAGCCTAGTGAGTGCTCGAGGACGTCGACTATATCCGCCGCCTGCGGCAGCTTCTTCTCATCCGCCTCGAGGCGTTCGGCGTATAGCCGAACGGACTGCCGAAAGCTCTCCTCCTCCGCGTTCCCCGCGAAGGTGAGTGTGAGGGCGTTCTCCTCCCGCTCCGTCACGTGAAACTTGGCGTACCACGGGCTAAGGACGACCGTTTTCCCTCCAGCCTCCGCCGTGGGGAGCTCAATGACCTGTGGCAATCCAACGAACTTCACCGTAAAGCCGCCCTCGGCGGCGCCGTTCAATCGCAGGCGCGAAAAAGGAGGCAGCACCACCGTATCGCCCACCTTGAGGCCGTCGGCGGAGGCCAGAGTGCCGGAATCGCTGCAGTAATACAGTTCCGCATCGGCGGGCGCCGCCGAAGTGCACAAAGCGATAACGGTGTAGGCGAGCGGCAGGTGCTGTGACAAGAGCGTCCCCTCCGCGAGATGCCCGAAGGGGCCCTCTTGGCGCCCCAGCAGCTCCGCACCGCGGTCCTTGTCGGCCAGCGCGAGCACCAGGCCCAGCTTGCCGTAGGCGGGAACCTCGGAGGGGATCTTTTCCGCGGCCGCGTGGCACATGACTTGGATGTCCGCCTCCGCCACGCCCATGTCGGCCAGGTAGGTGTGCAGGGTGGGAATGTCCTTGGCGTGCTGAAGGCAGCCCCTCGCCGCCGCCTCGCCCTCTTCGCCGGGGAGCAGCACAAGGCTGGTGTTGGCTGGCGCGTGCAGCGGGGTTGCCGCGACGCGGCGCCAGAGCTCCGGCCGCCACGCCGCACCATGTGCCCACAAGCCCTTTGGCGTCTCCAGCTCATTGGCAAAGGCGCCTGCCTCCTCCAGAGCGCTGGAAGGGGCGTGCTCCGCATCCCCCGCGGCGGCCGCCGCCTCCGGCCCCTCCGTGAAACGTGGAAACAGCTGCGCGAAGGCGCGCGCCAGCGTCCCGTGGTCGCCGAGCCAAGCCTCCAGCGCCTGGATGGAGACCTTGGCGTCCACCGCCCCGACGGCCTCCGCGAGGGTCCGCTCCTCCCGCTCCGTGAGCGGCCGCCGCGCCGCGAGGTGCTCCTGGATGGCACTCGCGAAGGATTCAAAGAGGACCTCGGACTCGGCGGCGCTGAAGTAGTGCTCCCAGAACTTGAGCAGCTCCGCGTTGGAGGCGCACTCCTCAGCCGGCTTCTGAATCCGGCACAGTTCCCTCACGTAGCTGACAATCTTCGGGGTGTCGACGCCCTCGATGAAGGCGCGCCACTTCCCCTCCTTGTAGAAGAGAAAGTACGACTTGGACTTCCCGCGCCGCCCGTGCAGAATGCCTTCCCAGAAAGTGGGCAGCGTGTATCGGCAGAGCTCCAGGTTTTTCGGACGCTGCAGGTTGCGCTGCTCCTCGGGGAACTTGAGGCTCTCTAGCACGGAGTTGCACTCCACCGAGTAGAAGCGCAGGTGCGTCTGGTCCCCGGCGTCGGTGTAGAGGCGCCGGAAGGTCTCCGAGAGCACCTTGGTGTTGCCCCACTCGGAGCTGTACACGTCGAGCACCGCCACCCCGTGCTGGGCCTGGGAGAGCTGCAGCTCCTGCTCAAGCTGCAGGGCCGTCGTGACGTCCTTCAGCACCTCTCTGCTCTGCTGCTGCATCCCCGCCAGCCTCCGGTATGGTGTCCCCTCGTGCGGTGGTGGTGGTGGTGGTGGTGTCGCCGGGTCTAATGTCTTTCCCCGCGCCTTTTTTCGTGGATGTCTTTGTTTTTGTTGTTGTTCTTCTTCTTGATGTTGTGTGTGTGCGTGTTCTTTTATTCTCCTATGCGGTTTCTTCCCCTCCGCGTCCAGGCGAGAAGGAAAAGAAGGAAAAAAAAAGAGCGGGATGAGGCGTGCGGGGCGGCCGGCGGCAGCCGAAGACGATCGCCAGGGCACACACACAAACGCACAGGCAGGCAGGCGGAGGGCGGAGAGCGGGGCGGGGGGAGCTGCAGGTGGATGATAAACGTCGGTTGCGGGTTCCGTGCAACAAAGCACCCGCGGTGTTCTTCCACAACAACAACAAGAAGAAATAAAACGAAGAAGGGAGGGGTGGAAGGAAGAAAACAAACCACCGCACCGTCCCCTCTCCTTCTTTCCTCCTCTCTCTCTCCCATCTCGCCCCGTCTTTTTGTCCCTAATTCACCTCACTGCGCCACGGCTCCGTTTTTGTCTTTTGTTTTTGTTTTGTGTGTGTGTGTGCCTGCATGTTTTGGCTGTTGTTGTTGTTGTTGTCTTTTTTCCCCCGTTTTTTTCGTTGTTCTTGTTTTTTTTTTTCGGTTTTCTTTTCTTTTTTTTTGGTGGGGGAGGGATTTCATTGCGTTTTTTGTGGTACGCCACACACACACTTTGGACGTGGACGCACGCGTCGCGCCTTTCGTTTTGTTTTTGTTTTTTGTTGTTTTTTTTTTCTCTCGCGCATGTGTTTGTTTGTTTCTTTTCTTTTCGCTTAGTTACTTCTTCTTCTTTTCTTTTTCTTTTCCCCCGCCCGCTCAGGCGACGGCGGCGGCGTTGAAGAGGAAGTAGCGCACCGCGGGGAGCTGGTCGGCGAAGCAGTTGCGCGTCCTGCAGGCGAGCGTGAGGTTGCAGATGATGTGGCCGTCCTGCGAGGTGACGACGACGCCGCCCCACGCCTCCGCGGCGTCGAGGGGGTCGTCGCTGAGCGTCACGCGCAGCCGCGCCCCGGCCCGCGCCGCGTACCACTCCTCCGCCTCGCGCAGCATCCCCCGCACCGCGGCCGCGTCCTCGCGGCGGGTCCGCACGACGGCGTCCGCCCGCACGCCCAGCAGCGCCTGGCGGATGAGGTCGCGCAGCAGCGGGTGGTAGCGGCTAGTGTCCTGCACAAACGCCAGGACGCGGCGGCGCGTGTTCTCCCGCAGCTGCTCCATGATCCGCGAGCGCTCCTCCATCACCCGCAGCCGCTGCGTCTTGGAGAAGTT